GCTGAAGGAGATTTTCATCTAAAACTCGTCGTCCTTCACCGGCACCTCCCGATTTACCACGGTTGGCTACGTACGGTGGGAAAGAATTTCGACATACATACAAATACACATTGAATTGATTTTGGTCTCAATACGCATATTGTCCCACCGCGTTCAATGGTGGTGCATGCGTGTCCAATAAATAGGTCCGTGAGTGAGTGAGGAGTGCTGACGTCAATATCGCGAGATGGGGCGTCTCGCCCTGTCGCGGTGTCATTAGTCTCAGTTCGAAGCGCGGTGGGCAGACGGGCTTGCGGGCTACAGCTGCTCCTGGAGCAGATGGAATTCGTTCATTACGCTCGATCACCGGTGCCGCCGCCGTTACAGCCCCATGCCTCGCGCTAAAAAGCCTGCGAGTTCAACTCCCGGTCACGTCGCCGTGGAAGGAGGGGAGGGGGGTGTAAGTAAATTCGGCCTGTCGTCTCTCCCATGATCGATAACACAGGTGGACCTCCACCAACCTTTTGGTAGAAAGTCAACACCGCGTTCGTCCACCTGTCCTGTGCGGAGATCGCCCGTCTCACCACCACGAGAATGTGGAATTACCACCGTTGGCTCAATGCCACCGTCGAGCAGTTCCAGAAGATCGTCGCCCACCCCCCCCCCCCCCCCCATGTGCACTGCGTGCTCGAGTGCTCAGAGCAGCGTCGGCTGTAGCCGCTCTGGGCGAGCGTCCACTCCACTTTCGGCGCTCGCTCACACACACACACGTGTAATGGCGTCTCTGCTGCCTTGTGGTCCAGTGACTTATGGAAAATAATTTCATCGGGATGCCTACACGAAAGAAGGGCAAAACTTCGATCATTTTCACTCCACTCTACGAAAATGTCACTTTGATCCGTTTCATCTTCATCACCACTTGCGCAGGCACAGGCTTGCTACACCAGGCAATAGCTACTTGTGTAGAAAGGGATGTAGGGAATGCATTGACATGCATGCGAGAATTTGACCCCACGTGGTTTTTCATATGACCGGTCAAAGTAAGCAGTTAAGAGCGTTCAAGTAAGAATATTTATTTCCAAACAACGCATATTAATAATACACGCTGGCCACTGGGAGAAGACACCAAAAGCGGCTGAGCGTGGTTGCAGGTCACATCACCACCCGCTCATGAGCCGTGTCGGCCTTAATAGGCGCTTGCTAACTGCAATTGTCTCTACGGTTGACATACATGCACACGTGGGGAGCGGTGGTGCAGTGGTTAGCGCGCTGCGCGACGAACCCGGCGACCCGAGTTCGATTCCCGCTCACGGCCAACACCAGTGACCGGTTATCTGAACCGGTTATGGGCCTCCCCTAGGTCAACTCGGCCTCAATCAGTACCTGGCGCGGTGTGTAACCATTGTCACTGGGGAGACGAAAGCGGCTCAGGCGTGGTGCTGGCCCACCCACTCGGGTGCCGTGCCGGCCTTCATAGGTGCTCGCTAACAGCACTTGCCCCAACAGTCTGTTAAGTGCTATACCGGGGGGAGCTTTGCCTTTTGCTTTGCACCAATCGACGTGTTTTAGTGCTGCCGTTAGCCACCCGAGTTCGATCCCCCGCTCACGCCGAGCAGCAGTGCGACCGGGTTGTCTGAACCGGTCACTGGGCTGCTTCCCCCGAGGTCATCTCGGCCTCCACATGAGCAGCACCTGGCGCGGTGCGTAAGTCGCCGCCGCTGGAGGAGACGGAGGCGGCTCGCGCTTAGTGCTCGCTGCCCCCCCCTCCCCCTTCGCGTGCTGTGTCGGCCTTATTGGGTTGCTACTCCATAACAAACGGCACTTGCCCCAACAGTCTGTTTAAAGACTATGGGGGGGGGGGTCTTTGCACATCGACGTGTGTCCGTGTGTTAAAGGCCCACAGGCAAAGCGAGACGTAGGTCTTCCACAGTCGTTATTAACGAATTAATAATTCACGGCGCTTTGTCATTTCACCGCGGCGTAATTGCCTTCGCCACGTGCCGTGCGGGCGGTCGTCATGTGGGGGAGGGGGGGGTTGACTATACTTCACCACGCTGGTCAATGCAGGGTGGCTGAAGATGGGGCGAATCGCAGGACGTGTTCAGACATCACTCGCCCCCTGATGATGTTCGTCCTCGGCCAGGAAATCGAACTTAGGTCGCCAGCTTCGGAGCGAAGTGCGCTAACCACTGCGCCACTGCTCCTCCGTAATAAAAATGGAGCACATTGTCGTCCTTTATCAGAACAGTGCACACAGAGCAATGACAGTTGTCCGAAACGTATCCTTAGTACAAGCATCATTATCGATAGTAGTATTTATTTACTTCGCACGCTAAGATCAATGTCAATAGCGAGAGTCGGTCTCGGCCTTGTGTTGGAGCAGCGCGGGGAACGCGCGGGTCACTTCTGCGTTCGATGTGCGCGCGCGCGCGCATTGAACGCGGGCAATTCGCCGCGTGCTGTCACTCATTCGTGTATTGCGATGCTTGCTATACCACCTATCCTACCTCCAAAACCGACGTCTCCTTTAGCAAGAGAGACCTGAGGGATATCACGGGGACAACACAGCAGGCGCGTGGAGCAAGACCAACGATGGTGGTCGTCTTCTCGTGGGTCGTCTCGCCCCGGCATAGAAATGTTGGCATTTCCATCACCAATACTGAGTGTGCTGATACAGCACAATTTTGCACGTGTATACACTCAGAATTCGGTCCCAGGATGGAAAAAAAAAGTCCTTCGCCTTGGAAATGAAGCAATGGTCACAGGAATATATGGTAATCTCTCGACTTTCCAAGTTGGATAACGCCATGCATTTTAATTCGACAGTTGTATTTCCCTCGTGTCTCGTCAGTTCAACCAACCAGCTGCATTGCCATGGAACCTGCCGCCGGTCATTGTGGTGCCATTGAGACTTTATTCATAATGATCTCATCTAATACTCGTAGCCTACACACATACATAAAAAACAACGCTCCCCCGTATAGCATTAAAATACTGTTGGGGCAAGTGTTTGTTAGCGAGCACCTAATGAAGGCTGGTACGGCACACGAAGGGGTGGGTGGCCAGCACCATATCCGAACGCCTTTGTCTCCCTAGCGGCGATGTTTACACATTCACACCATTTACTCATTTAAGGCTGAGGAAACCTAGGGGATGCCCAGGACCGGTTCAGATATTCGATACCGATGTTGAACAGGAGCGGGAAGCGAACTCGACTTTCCAAGTTTGTAGCGTAGTGTGCTAACCAATACACGGCCGCCCTCCACATTTAGACATACACGTGTATACATGCATACACGTACGGCAATTGACGTATAACTGGTTCTGTAAACAGAGTGTGTCTATGTTGTGTGTCTCTGTGTGTCTGTGTTGTCTCTCTTTCAAATGTATTTCTACCTGATGACGGTTGCTTGTGTTGCAATCGAAACGTCGTATTTTATTTTTTATTTTCTTTCTTCGTGAGTTTACCGAAAGAACCAAAGGAGTAATTCCTGCAGTCACGAAAGCTTCAAATCAAGTTTGCTTCTGTAATTGTAGCATTAATTATATTTAATTGTCTCATTGACAACCATTTTGTAAAACGTTTGCCTGTACGTGTTTATTTGCGTTATGCGTTTGTACTTGTTTTATTTTATTTTGGCGTTACAATAATTGTTTTGATTTCCAAATTTGTATATGTCCTCCCGTATTTTGTAACACACTTTATCTCCCAGGTGTATTTTGAAATGAAGGACATGTGCATCTCACTCGAATGCTATCTGCAGGTTATCTCTAGCGATCTCCCACTCAGAATCATCGTCTTGATTTAGACTGGAGGAGGAATCCGATGAGCTATGAAGCTCTTTTTCACAGATGTCGCAATCCACGGCAGGTTGGGTGCTGCAGAAGTTTCTCGCACGCGGAAGGTTTATGACTTCAATTCTGGCTTGGTGGCCAGCACAGCCCATCATTTAGTCCGTGGTTGATAAGCGAGTTCCATGTTTGCAGGAGGTCAACCGTAGTCGTCGTATATAGAGGCTAGCCTCAACCGCAGGAATGTTGAATTTCTACCACCGATGGCTGAGAGTCCTGAACGGAAAGGAGGCTTCACCACAATTTTGTTTTCGAAGCAGGGAGACACTTGGCACGTGATGATTTATTTGACAAAATCCTGTTTCATCACTCGCACTGTATGAAGCGATGAGGGAGTGAGTGGTGGCGTAGTGGTTGGCGCACCGCCCCTTGGCCACGGCTAACATCAGTGGCGAGTGATATCTGAACCGGGTTCTGGTCCACTCCGCGTTCATCAACGCGCCGTAACCAGCAGAGTGGTGAAATATAGTCAACCTCTTCCCCCCCCCACCCCCCCATAGCCGTTATAGCATGGGAGGTCTGCATACAGCAGTGGATAGGTACAGGCCTGTAAACTACACGTGTGTTATAATAATGTGTAGTATTTGCTATACGTGCAATCTCCAACTACATTCATAAATTGCAAACTTTAGTCAAACTTGAACAGACAATTCTTATACAATTAATAATAACACGATTTCTAAGCGTACGTATGATTGAAATCAATCACTCTTATCTCAATCAGGGTTCTAATGCGCAGGGGTATTTAACACGACCCAAGTCGATACGAGGATACATACACTCACTGACACATTAAAATCGTAGTGCTTCTATCTATGCACACGTAGGCACACGTGTACTTGGCATGGACAGGTAAAGTATGTACAGTATACATAAATTACCATGTCGGACGTTTGTTTACGATATGAACACGCTCCTGTATTCCCTGACCTCCCATTCAACATGACAAAACACCGTGTTCTAGTACAGTAAACGAACGCTGCCATAAATAGAAGAGCAGTGCACAGCGAGTGGCCTGACGTTTCGGGTAATGCGGCCTGTTATGCCGCATCGTACTCCGTCGCAGAGATAAAAGAAGCGAGGACGTGGTTTACGAATGTGGCGTTGCTCTCGAGTGTGCAGGACGGTGCAACTGCGGGGTGGGGGGGGGGGCACGGGATAGAGAGGACCAGCCGCCGGTTCTACTTCGAGGAGGAAGGCGGACATTGGGTCTCGGTTAATGCGTTGCACCGTCAGGGCCACCCCAAGTAGCTGCGCGGTGCGGTGCCACTGTGGCTTCGAGGTTGTCAGCACAACGGACTGTGCACATCTTGAGTTGAAGCTTTCGTGACTGCAGGAATTCATATTCTTGGGTCTTTCGGTAAAGTCACGTCGATAGGTTCAAAGAACAAAAACTAAGAAAAACTAAAAAATCATGTAAGTGGTGGACAGCCAACCCGACGGTGGTTGGTTTTCCCTCATCAAAACTCGACACCATAGAGCTCGATGTATTTATCACCGTCATCACCAAGCCAGTGAACTGGAACACGTACACCAAGCTCTCAAGATGAATGGATATTCAGACTACACAATCCGTAAAGCTATCACCCCAACCGTTGGGAAAGAACCATCTGAGGACCCACTCAAAACTATCACCTTGCCATACATAGCAGGGGTCACTAAAAAGATTTCCCAAAACATGAGCAAACACAAGATCCAGGTTCGATTAAACACAGTACATCAAATTAGTGATCTGATCCCATCTGTGAAGGATGTGATCCCTGACATGCAATACCCCGGCGTCTACAAACTAAGCTGTGTCTGCGGCAGTAGTTACATTGGGGAAACTAAGAGACATGTCTCGGACCGTGTTCGTGAACATAAGGCAGATCTGAAACACGGTAGGACCAATACCTCGGCCGTGGCTGATCATTGTTTTAATGCGGTAGGCTCACACGACATGGATTTATCTTAGACAAAGGTACTTTGCAAGCCCACTGGCTATCAAAAAAGATTAGTCCATGAAGCCATCCATTTTTTAGACACAGACACAATTTCAACCGAGAAGAAGGATTCAAACTGAGCAATCATTGGAAGGACGATATCAACCAGTTGAAATAAAAATTGGCTATGATGTCCCCATCCTACCTGCCGATGTTAGTTGTGCCTTACTCCCATTTCAAACTTGCGCTTTCACAGTCACTTCGCGTGCCAACCCCTTGCTTGCGGCACCGCATTCTGCCATTAACATGCTAATCTCTCTTCAACATGCTAATTTTCACCTGGCAGCTCTTTGATTGGTGGAAAACCAACCACCGTCGGGTTGGTTGTCCAACACTTACATTATCATTGGCTGCTGACATTTGGGCTACGCCCATATCAAACCCTTATAAACAGTTTGCCTTGGAAGCTAACCCCCTTTTCCTGAAGACGACCGCTTGTGTTGCGATTGAAACGTCGTAGTTTCTTGTTATTTTTGTTATTTTCTTTGAACCTATCTACACGACTTTACCGAAAGACCCAAGAATACGACTCTGCAAAACTGAAACATTCTGGCTCATCCTGCCTGTGCCATGAAACGAAAGCGCAGCACCTAAAACAACGGCAATTGTCTTCATTGTTTGCACACCAAGGTTGTGAAAAACATCGACCTCGCTGATCTGACGTTATATTAAAACGTATAGAGCTCACGTCACTCGAGTGTCATAAAGGGGGAAACTTGACCCTGATTATGAATAATTGATGAACAGGCAAGAGTCTGTTTTGACTATCAGATCTCAGATCGCAATATACGTTCAGACCTGTTCCCCCTCTGTATGGGCCTTTTGTGCCAATGGTTTTCAGAAAAATGAATAGAATTAACATCTCGCCGCGGTGGCGAGATATTAACTACCTCGATGTTGTTTAAAATTTTTATCCACCACGCTTTGTGCGAATGCGCTTCGGGAGTTGTGGCCCGTGAGCTTTAAGTATGACAACCAAACAAATCCCCACCGTGAGAGCGACATGGCGTGGGCTGGTGCCGCATTATCATCCAGCAGTGAATTCGCCGCGTGGATTCCGCACCTTCGATCATCACGATTGGCTACGTACGGTGCGGAAGAAGTGCAACACACACATATACACACACAGCAGACCGTGCGTGTGTGTAAGCGAAAGTGACCCGGCTCCTCTTCACCCCCCACCCACCCACCACCCATTTCTGTTCCCATCCCGCAGGCCCGCGGATCCGCAAGGCGAAGAAGCGCGCCGAGGGTGGCGGCTGCGAGCCCAAGCGGCCGCGCACCGCCTTCACACCGGAGCAGCTGTCGCGCCTCAAGGCCGAATTCCAGGCGTCGCGCTACCTGAGCGAGGCGCGGCGCCAGGCGCTGGCGAGGGACCTGCAGCTGAGCGAGGCGCAGGTGAAGATCTGGTTCCAGAACAAGCGCGCCAAGCTCAAGAAGGCGAACGGCGTGCGCAACGAACTGGCGCTGCAGCTGCTCGCGCAGGGCCTCTACAACCACTCCACCACGTCGCACGCGGGAGAAGGAGACCGTGACGAGATGAGCGACTGAGCTGGCGAGCGAGCGAGCGAGCGAGCGACAGAGATGGTCGAGAGAGAGAGAGGAGATAGAGAGGACGGAGACCTTAAAACAATCTCGCCACGGGACCCGCCGCGGGAACGCGGAGTGAGCGTGGTTGAGTTGTGAGAGCCAGCCTGGCCACCGATGAATGGAGGCGGACGACGGCTGCGCTTGGCAGCAGCATGACACGACGGACATTATGAGAGCCATTAGGGGGCTGCAAGACGCGGCGATGGGGAACGGGGGGGGGGTGAGGGGGGTTAACGAGGGTTGGGGGAGGTGAAGAGGGGTGGGGGCCCTCGTCTCAGGCCGGGTGGGTGGGGGGGGGGGCAGCGTGTGTTAAGCGAGAGCGGGAAGCCTTGTCTCTGGAAGCGCTAATTTAATTGGTACAAGGAGCGCTAATGGACTCGGATGCGCCGAGCTATTCCGCAGCCGAAGAATAAGATTCCACCGACGGGCCCTGTCTTGGCATTGACGGTGATGGTTATGATGCCAACGGGGGTGATGACGACGACTAATCACCTGCTGGATCCTTGGCGCATTTGCAAGACTCGCTGCGTGTACTTTTTAAAATGAACTTATATTATTCAACGACACCAACCAACGGCAAGAATTAATGTAGTCTTGCGAATTTTTGAGAGCGATTGTACCGGTTGTATATAATAAGAATAATAACGGCGATGATAATTATGATGGTGATGAATCGAAGTCGAATCCCTTCGCACGAGAGAATTTGTCCGGCATCTCAAATATCGATTGGTATATATATATAAGTGTTGATTGGCCGTGCTTGTATGAACGTGTCCACCCTGCGTGTGTGCGTGTGTGTTTGTGAACTTGTCCGTGTATCGTATGGTGCTGTTGTGACGCGTCGTGCTGGAGGTCAGATGTGTCGTGGCGTTGTCATCTCGTGAGCATCAAGACCAGCAGTGGCTATGCCCCTTGTATTACTTCACCGTGTCTGTATTCCGTGCTACTGCGGACCAAAGATTTTTAGAGAAAATCGCGTTATATAAACACAAACACACAACGTTCGTGAATAAATGGCACATTTTGAATGAAATTATTCTCTTGCTTTTCTGAATGTGATCGGACACATTGGGACGGCTTTGTGTGTGTCTGTGGGGGCGCGGTAGCGTAGTGGGTAGCTTAATGCGCTACGAACCCTGTTCACGACCAACATCGGTGACAAATATTTGAACCGGTCCTGGGCCTCCCCTAGGTCGACTAAACTTTACACGAGTTGATAATTGTTTTTTTTTACTTCTTTCCTTAGAGCCTAGTCTAACAGCTTTCCTTAGAGCCTGTGAGACAAGGCTCTAAGGAAAGCTGTCTCGGGTGTGGACCAATCAACTTCAAGGACAGTGCATACATTATCAGAGTTATGTTTTTTGTTTGCATTATGACTGCAGGTATTGTGGTTTATGCAAAGATGACTCCTTGTAAAAAAGGTGTCAGTTTTGTTGCCAGATGAAAGGGTAAAAAAACAATTATCATATTTTTTACTGGCAAATGAGGTTCCAATGGCTTACACGAGTTACTGGTGTTTATGTGTACACATCACCGCTAGAGAGACAAAGGCGGTAGGGCGTGTTGCTGGTCACCCACCCCCTTGTGTACCGTTCCGGCCTTCATAGGTGCTCGCTAAAAGCACTTGCCCCTACAGTCCATCGATACAATATATCATCAAAGGCGAATCTTTGCTTTTTACTCAATATAAGCTTACTTGAAGGGCATTACATTTCGATTTAAAGCTTTCGTGACTGCAGGGATTCATATTCTTGGTTGTTTCGGTAAAGTCACGTGACTTTACCGAAAAAAACAATAATATGAAGGGCATTATATCTGCAAACACAAAGTCTCGCTGGTTACCCGGGTTCGATTCTCGCGCACGGCCACCATCAGTGACGATATGAATCGGTCATGGGTCTCCCCTAGGTCGACACAGCCTCAAATGACTACCTGGTGCGATATATAAACATCGTCACTCGGGAGACAAAGGCGGCCGGGCGTGGTGCTGGCCACCTACTCCCTCACTAACAACACTTGCCAAAAGTATTCTAAGGCTATAGGGGGACCTTTGTCTTTGACTTTAGCGTATTTGTAATGTGTAACGTACAGTACGCCTAATTAATTTCGCAGATATATCCTAAGACAACCAGTTCTTAATTTTCAGCTATTTCTTAATCATGAAGTATGGCCATATTTGACCATACTTCACCACTCTGGTGCGTCGGCGTTGGTGAAGAAGGGGGATGGTCCGGAAACTGGTTCAGATATTAACTTACCAACTGATGTCATCCGTGTCCCGGCATCGAACTCTGGTAGCTATAGTGAGTCAACCAAGCGCCACTGCTCACTTGAATGACCATGATTGTATATATATATAAACAACTTTTTCATGAATAAGCAACAGTTGCAATTTTGATCAATATAAATTTTTGTGCTAGAGCACGTGAAAGTTGTAATGCTTGTTATTAATCATTATGACGTGGCCTCACCCAAAAACAAATATGGATCATTCTATTGACTACGACAACCTTGTTTTTGCAGCTGGTTGCTGCTATATGGTTTAGTCTGTGATAGATTATCGCATAATACAAATATCCTTGGTAGACACGTGCTCATATTATTTGAGTCTTTCGGTAAAGTCACGTAGATAGGTTCAAAGAAAATACAAATTGTAGTCTTTTGTTATTTTCTTTGAACCTATCTACGTGACTTTACCGAAAGACCCAAAGCATATGAATTCCGGCAGTCTCGAAAGCTTTTAAGTCAATATTTAAACACGTGCTCATTACACCAATGATCAAGTTTCAAGAAATATTAACAAACTGCAGGGTACATATAACAAATAAATATATGAGTTTACAATAGTTAAATATGCGATACATTAAAGAACCATACTCTTTGGTTCTTTCGGTAAAGTCACGTAGGTATAAAATATAATAAATGAAATCACGACGTTTCGGGCGCAACACAAGTGCCCGTCATCAGGTGGGATAACCACAGCAAGAAACAATTGCTGAAGTGGGCAAAAGGGGGCTGCTTGTAACAAGAGGCCATATAGGTAAGAGAGTGGGGGGAGGAGCCAGGGAGGAGAGATAGAGAGGGTGTGGGTGTGGGGTAGGGGGATTGGAGAAGTGCAAGCTCCAACAACGAGTACGACAAAATGCCGGGGCTGGGAAGTGAGCGGGGAAAAACATTGCAAACCCCTCGGGGATAGAAACGACCCACGGTGGGATTGAGCGTGCGCGTGAACCATGGGGTCCAGCCCACAGTGAACACGGGGCAAAAGTCGAATCAAGCCCACAGTAAACAAGGGAGAAGAGTGGGATCAAGCCCACACGGGGCAAGAGTAGTGGGGTCAAGCCCACAGTACACACGGGGGAAAAAGTATCTTCTGACCAGTGTCCATAAAGTCAAGGGCCCACGCGCCTCAAGAGCAACAACAAGAACGCCATTCCGGTTACGCGTTGGGTTACCATCGTCAGACGGGCCATAGGAGCAATGCAAGCCCTCTGATCCTCGTTTAGACCCACAGGTGCGCCATAGCTGCACGGGTCAATCTTTGATCAACATTGCCGCGTTGTTTCCACTGTCGCGCCGGAGGACGGACTCGAACTGGCGACCCTCTGGATTGCAGAATCAGAGGGGCCATCCATTGAGTAGGTACGCAAAAATCTGTCAAAACTTGACCCCTCCCTGTACGCACACGTACTTTTTACACATACCCCACAACCTGCGTACATACGCTTGACGCACCCGCACCCCCCGAATCCTATAGAACGACCGATATTTAATTACGCAGAAACGATCAAGGATACATCATATTAACGTGTTTAAGCAAACAGATAGTTCACTGCCGGACTATTTAACTCATTTGAAGGCCAATGTAGACAAATTATTATCGAGGCTTCACCCCCCCCCCCTCCTCGTTTCCTATGCGTATGTACATTGTCAGTAGACCCCCATATGCAAGCGTATGCATTGGGGTTAACCCCCTCCCCCCTCCATGCGTACGTGCTAAATTGATGGCCCCTGAATTAGTATTTTGATTGGAGGAGGAATACGATGAGCTTCGAAGCTCTTTGTCGCAGATATCCAGTAGGGGCACGGGTTCAGCAAGAGAGGAGTGCAAAATAGTCGCTACGAATAAGTATAACTACAGTACAGAAGTGTAATATGAGGATATATCCGGCTCACTGACGTATCACAACTCGTCATGGTGATTGGCTCTGCTGGTCCTGGTCTACAGCCAATGGGGGGAAACCTGGGGGCATGGCCCTGGCGTGATGGAAAGGTGACAGCTATAAGGATTGGTTATGCTGGCTTTGGCCACAGCCAATGGGGAGATGAGTCAGGGGCGTGGTCCCGGGAGATGACGAGGGAGCCTGGAAGATTCGATGCAGGCTAACGAGGATTGGCGGAAACGTACCACGTGACCCGGGTATTAAATAGGGGTGGAGACGAACGACACATGGTCAGAACAGAGGAAGGGGGCCACGAGGGAGCGGGGCTCCGAGTTGCCACGTGGCAGTGCGTCTCTCTCTGTCTATCTGTCCCTCTCACGCTGCCTATCAGCAGCGTGAAGTAACTATAACATAAGTTGAATAAAAGACGGATTACAGAAGTCGTCTCAACGAGCTTTATTACAGAAGTATAAATTGCAGAAGTTTATAAATTCCTGCATATTTGTCAACACAGCTTGGGCAAGGCAGAAAAACAGCAATAAAAACAGTCCCAGACCACACCAAGACAACACAGTCCCTCAATTAAATTGCACATTAAAATTGAACTATCGATACACGGATAAGAACCTACGTTACAAATCGCATTGGCAAATGTGGCTGGATCCAGCACGAGCACAGATTCCAAGTCCAACTTTTGCACGGGCCAGCATTGAGGTCGAATCAAATGATGTGAAAGAAACGGATTCTGTGACGTAGCAGCCACCGTCACATTTAATTTCACAAACTCATTCACTTTACATTGTGACATTAGCAGTCAAAATGTGAACGTTTTAAAAGCTGGCGGTGCAGGATATATGTGGTTGGCGGTTATATTAATATATACAGGACTACGTTGAATATATATATGAAACTTAACATGATCATCATGGCCATTGATGTGCTCATGCACCACGGATCGCTCTTTTAAAATAGCCGGGCAACTGGCAAACGGAATAATCCGTGCAACACGTCCAAGTGAACTCAAATGCAT